ACCAGCTGCTTGAGCTTCACCTCGATATTAGTGGACTATGTAGATCGATTCATTAGCTGTTTTTTAATGCCATGCTGAGATCTTCCATGCTGCTTTGATAGCTATTCAGCAATCCTAACATCAGCGGAGAAACGTTTAAGTAATAAGAAAGAAGATGATGTAAATAGAAAGGGAATTTTCTTGTCTATTTGTATTACAATGTAGAGTACAATACAAAGAAGTCAAATGACTGCAGATATTGATTTGATATCACTATTCACTTGTTTATTTGACCTTCTAAACAGCAATACTACTCTGTTACTGCAACACTTTCACTAGTATTATCACACAACATTGACCAAAAGGTAGACATCCCCATCTAGTGGGCCAAGGTCCTGGATAATGATGTAAAGACATGTTGGGTCATCAATCAGAATACAGAATCAGAATATCTTTATTTGTCCCACAGAGGGGAAATGTGCTCTTTCTTTGAATTGAGTTGAGAGGTCTATTGGAGTATAATCAGAGTAAACACGTTTTTTCATCATGTAGGCTCAGGCAATTTGTTTCTGGCCCCTTTTTATTTTAGCACAAACCTATTTGTTAATATGCTTTCAAAAATGACCATCTTAAAGGAATGAAGAGTACATGATACCAAAGGACAGTACTGTTCAAGGATGCGTAATTCTGATTTAAATGAACAATAACTTAAAGGGGCACTATTATGCTCATTTTCAGGTTTATACTTTTATTTTCTGCCTCTATTGTGACATGATTATATGCTTTAATGTTTCAAAAATGTCATTATTTTTCTCATACTGCCTGTGAAGCACCTCTTCTCACCCTCTGTCTAAAACAAAAGCCCAGTGTGTTCTGATTGGTTCGCTGGCCGGTTTTGTTGTGATTGGTCAACCGCTTCGAGATGTCCCGCACCTTAACCTTTCACGTCAAATGTTTTGGAGCGATAGCCAATAGAAGTTTGAGTTATTCATAGTGATGGCACTATGATACATAACTGAACAAAGGATTCCAATGGGGGGGTTTCAGGCAGGGAGGGGATGTGGGAGATAAACTCAAAAAAGCATAATAGGTCCCCTTTAAGGTGGACATTGACAAATGCTAAAAATAATACTACATCACTTTTAAAAAGGAGCTCTGTATCATGTTATCCACTTCTTCAACTAACGCCCCATACTCTGCCTGACACACAGTGTGTTCCTTCCTGCTGCTTCCCTCCAGGCACTTCATCATGTCTCTGTGTATTCCAGGTCTGGATGCAGTGGACCCGAGCTTCTTCAGCTGCTCAACAGGATCCTCCGGAATATTTTGGATTTGTAATGCTTTGCACACAGCGGGAGCAAATTTCCCATAGTGAGCGGTGGAACAAAGCACCATGGGGCATGAAGCGTCCTGCAGCCTATCAGCGACGACTTTAGCCACGGCGGTGTGTGTGTCCATGAGGTAGCCTGTGTGTGTGTGAACACTCTGGATGGCGGCCAAGCAGTCTTCTTCAGAGCACCAGCCAGCCAGCACTTCCTGCTGAATCCTGCCAAGAAGAGGCTCAGGAACCTGAAAGTGCTGCTGTCTGTCTAAGCGTGTGAACAGCTCCTTGACAAGATGGCCGTCTCCGTCCGAAACGTGGAAGATAAACCTCTCAAGGTTGGAGGATTTCAGGATATCTATGGCAGGGGAGTGGGATAGCGCCAGAGGCCGTGCCCGGAGATCATACTCGCCTGTGGTGATAAAGTCGGTGATGATGCGGTTGTGGTTGGACGCACAGATGATTCTTCTTATCGGGATGCCCATCTGCTTGGCGTAGACAGCAGACATGGCGTTGCCAAAGTTACCAGAGGGGATGCAAACATCAATGGGCTCGCCGAACTTGATAACGCCATCTCTGCATAGATCCAGATAGGCTGAGGAATGGTACACCACCTGCAAAAGGAGGAATGTGTCAATTTAAATGTGTGGCAAAAGCTTTACTTCTTACTGTCCTTGAAAAAAAAAAATATATATAATAATAATAATTTAGTGCTATGCTTGGGCGCTATATAAATCCATGTTATTATTATTATTATTAGTGCTTTTTATAAATCTAGATCGTTCTGGTGTTATTTTTTTAATGTTAGAGATGCATATAATTGAACTATATGGTACGCGGTTTATTGGTGCTCAAAGCGCAACAACAATATGGAAATACTCAACTCTTGAGTCCTCTTTCCAGATATCAAGATGCAGTTACTCTCAGATAAATACAATTCTAATCCTTTGGAGCAGTTTCTTATAGGAACTATTTCCTTTAAGATGCACACATCCCTCTGCACCATGATATGGTTGAAGGGTGTAGTTTGGTAGAAAGAAAATAGTTCACACATGAAACAGCTCACAACAAGGTTTATGGAATATATAGTACGGAAGAGGATTAGGGCCACATGAAAAAAAAAATGTGGGGATGTGAAAAAAATGTGGCCCTTGCGTAATATAGTGAGCTCGAGATCTTTCTTATTTGTATGGTGCTTCAAACACAACGAGATGAGTGCAAAGTTGCAAACAGGGACAGTTTTATCCCACAGGCGATAAGACTGCTAAACACCTGAGCTCTGTTAAGTGCACCGATAAACCGACCAGCCAAAAATCCTGTTTGCCATCTTGCAATCTTCTTATTTATATAAGTACATTTTATATTTTATTATATATGTTGCATTGTTGGAGGAGCTCAGGTCAGAATAATTTAATTGCCATTTCTACACTGTAGCTTATATGGCAATAAAACCTTTGAATTAATCTTTGAAACACCTTATCTTTCCCAGTTATTAAGTTAAAATGTCGCCGGTAAAAATAAAAACGTTAATACAAATGTCCTACCTGTGGCAACAGTCGGGCCCAGTTGATGGAGTTTGCGGTGCTGAGAACGGTGCTGTACTCCACAGCGAGGTGACCAGTCAGCCCGCCCTCTCCAAACATCCTCTTTATGCTCCTCTGACAGAAGTCAAAGTCTGACAGGACGCTGACGGCCCTGGCGTTGCCTTCCCTGAAGCTCATCATCTGAAGCTTCTGAATCTCACTCACGCCTTCCTCTGGGAAAAACACCAGCACCCCGGTCCTGTGTGTGTCAGAGCCACTGAGCCTGCTGAAGCCACTGAGTACCGCACTTCCTGTGTCTCCAGATGTGGCTACCAGAATAAGGTAGTTGCACATCTGTGGGAGGCAATAGGCGAAGAGCTGTGGCATTAGCTGCAAGGCGAGGTCTTTGAATGAGGCAGTGGGGCCATGAAAAAGCTCCTGGATATACTGATTGTGGATGAGATGTTTTACAGGTGCTACTGCCTCACTAGAAAAGTTTGACCCATATGCCTTAAATATCATTGTTCTTAGATCCGAAGCAGGGACATCCAATGGGTGTATGCACTTTTCAAGTAAAATTAATGCTCGTTCTGGGTATGACATGTGAACTAGTCGCAGCCATTCACGAGCATCAATATTTGGGAAGCCATTTTTGGGAACGTAGAGGCCTCCATCTGTGGCTAGACCCTCCACTACCACATCACTAAAGAGTGTTTTCGATTCCACGCTGTCACTCCTGGTTGACACAAAGGTTTCCGAAGCGTGGTTCTGATATCTCTCCATAGCCTTCAGCACCTTCTCTGCTACTTCCTCCACTGTGTCCCCTGTTCCACACAGCACCCGCAGATCAAGCCATCTCTCATAAAACTGTTTCCTGTAATGCAGAATGTCCCTCATGGACGTCCCAGTCTCCTGTCCCACTATCCTGTTCACTTTCATCCTGGTGAGTCTCTGTACGATGTCTTCACTGTCCACGTCCAGATAGATGACCAGTCCAGACTCTTTGATGTGTTTCATCGCTGCAGTGTGCAGAGGGTTGGAGCCTGTCAGGGAAACAACACAGCCTGAGGCAGAGAAGTTACACAAAGCATCGCCTTCTTCCTCCAGGAAACGCTCTCCGCCTACTGCTGCCAGCTTTGCAGCCACAGGCATCTTCCATGACTTCTCCAAGACATCGTCATCGACGTCAATGACAGGCAGTCCCAGCCTGTGGGCCACTATCCTGCCCACTGTGGTCTTCCCTGCTCCAGGGGCACCCATGAGCAGGATGTTTCTGTCTCCCAGCAAGGAGGCTTTGGTGGAAAGCCATGATTTTGATGTTGAAAGAGGACTCAGGTAGCATCTGACAGCTCTTAGTGCATTCAGTAAACCCATTGAGGACTCAAATGACAGCAGCCTTTTCTCCTGTGATATAAAAAGTGGAGTTTTAATTCACATTTATGTTAGGTAAACTGGCCACCTCGTATTTTGACACTGCTTTAACTATGGACTTGTGTTAACAGTAGTTAACGTTACGTGTTAACATAAATGATAGTACATGACAAGACACTCTGACTCACGTGAAATGGTGTCTTTCCGTACTTTAAACCTGAAAATATTGTTTGTGTGGATTCTGTGTCAACTAAACAATGTGTTTGTACGGGCAAAGCACCATGCTGTACCACACGTTTCGCAGGACCGCTGCAGTAAACAACTACGGTAAGCCTGGAGGGACACAACTGGCCAGAAGTCGAAGCAGAGACGGCATACATGATATTTGGTCACAGTCGCACACATTTCTCGTTGCAAAATTATTTCATGTTTTATTTTTTGTAAAATGATACAAAAATTCGATAAAACGTTCTGCATGTTCGGTACGAATCTGCTTGTACGAGTGACATGTGTGCAACATTCAAATGCTTCTCAGAAAGTTGTTTTTCAGTGTGCCATACCAGAATAAAAAGATGTGTTGTTAGATTTATAAATAATAAGCCTATACAGTATATACAATGAGATTTTAATGAAGTCTAGATGATAAACCACCAACGTTGGTGAAATGCACATGTGTATCAGCGATATTTTCAATTTATCGCTTTACCACTGTAATGAAATGCAGCATTTCTTCCTTTAGTTACCTAGCAACTATGCAACATCGTGTTGTCAAACAAATCTCACTGGACCAAGTATTGCTAGCGTTAGCTAATCTTAGCTCGGTCAAGTTAACTACCTTAGTCCACTAGTTTTTTCTCCTTTTTCCTGCTCGAAGAACATCAACATGTCTAAAGCTGTGTATCCCCGAGAAAGTGTCTACAATCTCGTTCCAAAGGAAGAGGTTCATCTGCAAAAAACCCAAAGGTAGCCTACTTTAAGAGCAAAATAGAAACCTAAATGTTGCGTTAAAGTATGCTAGTTCAAATTATTCTAGTTTTATTAAGGTAACTAGAGAACAAGGTTGTATTTAATATTGTAGACATACAGAGCAATTGACTTCTTGTTGTATTTAGCTTAGATATTTCGCCACAAACGATTAAACGATTAAATGAGGCAAGCAAATGTTATCTGGCTCATAGACTAACATTAGGTCATTTTTTCGGGAATGTACAGAAATTACTAAGGCAAAATAAGTATTTGAATGTGGTTGTCTGTCTAAAGCTTCCTCTAAAACTGTAGTCTATAGATATTTTACTTTTTATTTATGAGTACAATAAATTCTATCTTAACCAAAAAAGTACTTCTCACTTTAATCTGTTTGATGTAATTCATGTTAAATGACATACACAATTAATGATAATTGTTCTCTATTTTTCTGGATCTGTAGGTATGTGTCGAAGTTTAGGCCGACAGTTGTTCTTGAGAAAAAGTCCACCAAGGATGCAATGAGGACGATGGGACCAGCAAAAGTAGAGGTACCAACCCCTGAGAAATACCTCAAGAAGCATTCAAAAGAGCCCAAATTACCTGAACGTGAGTTCTCCTACAGACTATTTGAAGAATGTGCATGTGCGTCTTGAAGCAGGGATTCTATACTTTAACTTCATATTTATTTGTTTATTCAGAGGTGCAGAAAGAGGTTGGTAACAGCTACACTATGAGGAAATCAGCTGTTCCTGCAAGGACAGACAACCCACCAATGGGCTTTCAAACCCAGAGAGACTTTATAAAGACAGCTACAGCGGTGCCAATGAAGCCCAAGCCTACATCTGTGGACACCAGTAAGGGACACAAGCAGCTCCTTGAGAATTCAGGACTTGTCCCTAAATACATTAAGAAAAAGGTATTTTTTCATTAATATCGCATAAAAAAATAGCCAACAGCCGAAAAAGTAAATACAAAAAAAATAGTATATTAAACCTTTTATTGATGAAATCCATCCTTGAGTGCTGATTTAATTAGATTAACTTATTGCCCTGTTTCCTTTTTGCAGCATTATGGAGAAGTTCCTGAGTATCTGCAGCAGCGCAATGAAGAAGAGCAGAGAGCTCAGGAGGAGTACGACATGTTTGTGGAAGAACAGAGGGAGCAGGGAGCCATGAAACATCTGTCGGATGAGGAGAGACACATCGTCCTGGAGGTACACAAACACATCGCTGCACATTTCTTTCCCTGAATCAGCAGTTTCACACTGGAGGTGTATTGGAATTTGATCTGATGATTTAATGTCCTTAACGTGTCAGGAAAACTATTTTACGTAGCCCTATAACTAGTCAGGATAAAATGGCTTATGCATGTTCGTTATGTAGTATTTTAGCCACGCACGGCAAAATGAATACTAATATTACAACAATATTAACCACAATGCTTGAGAATAACCCCTGTAGTTGTTCCTGTAACACAGACATTACTTCTGATTTGATGGCTATATAAAAGCTGTTAATCCATGACAGTTGCATTACTAAAATGAATTTATTGTGACAGTGATGTGTTTCCCTTTGTGTGTTCACCATGCAGGGCCTGAAGAAGAATTGGGATGAGCTGCACCATGACTACCAGGGCCTGTCACTGGTCACAGACAACCTGTCCAAGAAGGCCCGCAGGGACAGTCTATGGGCGGCGATGAGGCAGCTAGAGAATGACATCAAACTCATTGAGAGGTTCAAGACCATCTACATACCCAGTTACTAATAGGACATACAAATCTTCATTAAATCAGATGTGCTGCACTGTTTGTTTTCATACTCCCCCCTTCAAATATGACATGGGCTTTAGTAAAATACAGTTCTGTGTTTGCATATTTTTGTGATATGTCATTTAATCAATGACATTTATATACATTTCTATCCCCAAATTATTGTCATTCAGAAAAACCTTCTGTGGAATATGTTACTTATTATGAACACATTGAATAGCAGTCTTCTCAGTCATTGAGATATTTCACTGGACTATTGCCATTTTAAGGTCCACCTACACTGAAACAACTGAAACGTTGACTTTAATCAAATGTATTATGTCAAAAGATTTCACATAACAGTATGAAGTTAGTTGAAAGCAATAATATTAAGTTGAACCTAATGTTACCTAATATTTGTTGCTTTCAACTAACCGCGTACAGTTATGTGAAATCTGTTGACATGATCCATCTGATTAAAGTCAAAGTTTCAGTTTTTTCAGTGTAGGGGAAGTAATGATCTTTCTAAAATACTCTGTAAATCTAGGGAAAAAGGTATCATTTGTAAAAACACTTCAATATATCTGCCCAAATAAAATGTGCTTCATGAAAAGCTAAACCAAGTATATTTTGCCGAGTGTTTTCATTGTCCTGCAGTGGCCCGTTATACGGCCACAAGCCAGCATAGCATCACATGCAGCTGATTATCCCTGTAATTCTCCACGACTGCAACAACGCTGTCCTTTTACGCAAATGACTCGAGCGTGAGCCCACAGTCCATGTGACTGGCCAAAAGGTCTCAGAATTGTCGCTGGAAGGAAAGGAAGGCAACAAAACTGTAAGTAAGTCTTTGGAAATAACAGATTGTTATTGTGGCTTAGCAGTTAAATGTAGCTCACATTCACAGACAGAAAGTAACTTCAGGTAACATTGAAACACTTGTGACTCTGAGTTACAGGAGATACTTTCATGTACCATAATATTTCAAAGTAAGGAAAGTATTTAATTATTTGGTCCGGTGTAAGAAAGTAAACTTTCTGTGTATGTCCCCTGAAGGTCACTGCTGCCTGTATCCTACATTTTCATCGACTACAAATGGACAGCGCAGGGATGAAAAAAGGAATTGTGGTATGTTTAACGCTAATCTCATGAATTCAAAAGTTTCAATTCACAAGTTTTAATCTCAACAGATAATGAGTCATTGTATGTGTGTGTAATTATTCGCTCAGCTTTTAGAGCTGCTGTTAGGAGATAAAATGTTCACTTTTCTCTGATTTAATTCCCCAAGTCATTTTTGGATTCATTTAACAATAAGAAGCTTTTGAATAACCTTCACAGCTTCCCCTTTATGACATCCTACAGCAAAATGTATACAGAAATGTCTACATTGAAATAGCCATCAAAACTAGACTTCTTTAGACAATGGAAATTCAACTGCCTTTTTATAGTGCTTGAACCCTTTTTTCCTGTTTCTTAAATGTCTACAGTTATTTACTTCCATGCCTAACAGTGCTTTTTCTGTCCCAGCTGAAAGATGACTGGCCAGGATATAGTCTGGACCTGTTCACTTACCCTGAACACTACCATGAAGACATAGAGAGTGTTTACATTCCACATGGGATAATCATGAACAGGTAAAAAATACACCAAAAAAAACCCATGCAAAGTGATTTGTAAAAACGTTTTTTGCCTTCATTTGTATTTTTTTTTAATGCATTTCTCCTGCAGGGTGGAGCGTCTGGCCCACTACATCATGGATGACTTTGCTGACAACAACAACATCATGGTGCTGTGCGTCCTGAAGGGAGGCTACAAGTTCTGTGCAGACCTGGTGGAGTTCATCAAGGTGCTCGGCCGCAACTCCAACAAGTACCTGGAGACTCGGGTGGAGTTCATCCGTCTCAAGAGCTACCTAGTAGGTGCATGGCATAATGTACACGTAAATGGCACACACATTAACACATACAAACACACATTTGAGATATTAACACTACACAGCAGGCTTTGCATTTTCTTGTAGTGTCCCCAGATGTATTGGACCCTTACTCAAGTCCAATACATCCTCTACCGGTAAAGAAAAAACTTAAAAATGCTTTTTTTTAAAAAAGGATTTCAATGGTTTTTTTCTCCGCTGCAAAAATGTAGTGTGTGATTAGCAATTATTTTTATTAAATTCAGAGATTATTAATTGAGAAAAACAACACTTTTATTTATTTGTTGGCTGAAAAGTGACCAAAATAAGCATTTGAGGGCATCAAAATTGCCTCTGGGAATTTATAATAATGATTATTTTCATTCTTTTTTGACATGTTATCGACACAATGAATGACACGTTTATATGAATAGAACGGAAAAAAAAAATGAATGACAGTTAATCAATACTCAAATGATCCTTATAATTAAAGCCCCTACATTCATGCACTAAAGACACTTTTGAACACCTTATTTGTAACTGTGTGCTACATCTGACTTGTCGCTCAGCCACCAGGTGTCACTGTTGTTCATATTTAGTGAGGAAAGATTACATTCAGGACACCTCAAGGACGATTGATTATGGAGCCACTGCAGAGCTCTGGTCAGGAAAACACCACCCTAATTGGTGCTGTTTTGCTGCCAAGAGAAACAGCTTATGGCACTGTCTAACACCTGGAATGTAACTGAGGAAATAACTCTGGGAATGACACAGTGATGTTTACAATGATTTCACTACGCACTTGTCACCACAGTTACTTATTTTCTTGAGTGTATTTTGGCAGAGAGCACCTAAAATGATGTGATTCACATTTCTCTGCATGTGGTCACATTCCTCCTCTCCTTTTTCAGCGCAGGGGAGGCTTTATTATTTATATATCCAGAATTGGCTTTCACAAAGGTCCAAGGGATTTAATGCATTCTTATCTGAATTATAGATAGAAATGTTCACTTGCTGGGTCAGGTAAACCATGAGGTCAAACGATAATGTCCGATGTTTGCTCAAAGTCACAACACATTTTCATTTAATATAAGATATATCATGACAATTATTCAAGTAGCATTGCAACAAGGACAATTAGGACAATATTATGTACCAAGATTAACAGATAAAAACACAAAAAATAGAAAAAAACAATAACATATAAAAGGACAATATATAGAAAAAAGATAATAATATATAAATCACAACATATTTCGAAATAAGCTTGAAGCGTATACGTGAATTAGGTAATAATTACATTAATAAATAAATGAATACATCAGAAAAATGTTAAAAAAAACGCAACATTATTTTTGGTTTCAACATACAACAGGGCAGTAAGTAGCTTTTGTTATTAGAGGAAGGGTCTGAGTAATGACGCTGTGAGTCCATCTCAACATCTCTGGTCATGATGGAGTCATGTGACCTGCCCCCAGGGTTGGGATTTTGTCCATGTCCACTGCTCCTCTTATCTGAGTGATGCATCTGTGGCCCACAAATCTAACTTCAAAGCTGTCATCCTTTAAAGCTTTCGGTGGAAACAGAGAGCCTGGCTTTGTTTATGTAAAGAATAATATTTTACACTCATAGTCTCGTATTATTAATCTCCCTGTGCATGTGCATTCTTCTCGCTGCTGACAGCTCTTTCCTGAGAAACACTAGAGTAACATGTCTTTGAGAAAACATGCTATTTCTCAATCCGGATTTTCATTGTAATTTCTGGCGGCTAAAAAATGAATACATCTTCAATTTCCCCTTGAGGAACAAGCAATAGCGCAAGGAATCTGTGTTGCAAAAATAAAATAAACTGATTATATACATTACTTATAATGATTGCATAATATTGAAAACAATACTTTGTAACAATACCAATCATCTTTCTCTTTTCATCTTTTCCTGCCCAGAATGACCAATCAACAGAGCAGCTGCAAATCATAGGAAGTGGAGATCTGTCGTTCCTACGTGGAAAGGTGTGCATAAATAATTGTGCATAAAAACATTTGTGTTTTTTTTGTTTTTGAGATACCTTTTAAATGAAACTTTAGCCTCAAGAGGGGGCTGTCAGTTAAACTTTCAGAAAGTAATCACCTTTACAGGTCAACAAAAGAGAAATGACTCATTAGTTTCCCTTTGAGAATAAACATTTTAGATCAACAAAAGAATAACATGTTTTGTTTCAAATATGTTTTTATTGCCCCTTGGACAGGATCACTCCCCTATACTTCCACTTTTGAAGCTTTCTCTCCTCTTTGATCCCACCACATTTGTTAAAGCCCCCTGACCAGCCTAACTATGAATTAGGAATTTTAGGAAAATGAATGTTCCCAAAAGCCAGATTTACTGACTGTTCATCCCTTTTGAGCTCTGGCATGGATGACAGAGGAGTCTGTAGGAATGATCCCTGCTCACTGCCTTATTCTCTGACATGAGATCACTAACTCAGCTCGCGTAAATATGCCCACACGTGTTTGCTTAAAAAAGACTGATGTTGAATTCCTTTAACTGAGATGCATTCTAGCCGCGGTTTAAAAGGTCAATGGGAGTAAAAACAAAAAGGCTGACAACCACCTTGCACAGAACACATGAATCACTCACTTACAATCCTTCACAAGAATGAAAATATCACAGCAAACCTCCCACAAAGTCTCAAATCAAAAAACTAACCATGTGTCATCAGTCATATTCAGAAATGTTGTTGAGTCACAGCTTTAGGTATGAGGGAGGTGATACTGACACCTTCATGCTTGACAGTGGATACACTAATAGCATCCCTTTATTTTCACAAAGTAATGAACATATTTTATATATATTTTGTTATGATCAGTTTTTAGCCAGGCTAGAATTGGAGAATAGAGAGCATTTTGGTTACTGCCTGCATTTTGGTTACTGCCTTCATATACTAGCAATGATTGGATAATACCAAAGCTTTTTCTATAGTCAAGATTAATTGACTAAACTACAACAATCCCACACTCATGATATATGGATCCTAAGAGAACTATAAATTATTCTAAACGGTTCTATATGCTGCAAAATGACTGCCAATGCACGATTGTCCAACTGACCGTATAGTATGTTTATATGCTCCTGCATGCAGCGGTCATGTTTGAGTCTTTGGGTTTTTTTTACACGTCCCCATCCACTTTCCCTGAGTGTTGTGTAACAGGGTTCAGGTGTAGACGGAGAGAACATTGGCCAAGCGCCTGCATTCTCTCCGATCACTCTCCCCAAACCATAGATACTCTCCACTGGTCTCACAAAGAGCCCCATACACCGGCCAAGGGAACAAGGAGTCATTTGAAACCCTGCAGCAGGGAAAGTGAGCAACACCCGGACACTTAGAAGTG